GGGGTGGGGGGCTGGGGAGGGCTCAGGCAGGGAACAGTCCCCTCGGCTGTTCCTGCCCCTTCCTGCAGGAGTCGCTGGAAGCACAGCTCTACTCTCCCGGCAGAACCACCGTGTGGCCCGGCAGCTGATGGTGGTGATCCGCCAGCAAGGGGACACCCGCCTGTCACGTCTGTGTGCCCTGTCCCGCTATGACGCACAGAAAATGTGCAATGACGCCTTCGCCCTCATCCAAAACTGCAACGTGGCTGGGGCTCACCAGGCAGCATGGTGAGTGTGGGAAAAAGTGGGACACCTCTGTCAGGACTGGTTCTGATGTGGGAGCCAGAGACCTGTTGGAAAGGAACTCGAGTTAATTTGAGTGGCAGGAAAAGTGATTCCCAGCACCCTCACGGTAGAGTGCAGTGACCTAGCAGTAGGACAGCCTGGCCTCTTCTGAGCCCCACATCTGGTGAGACACTTCTGTACTTGGAGCTGAGGATTGCTACTGGCTGGGGTTTTTCCAGCTGGAGTGAGGCTGTCCTGGCCCTGCTGGCCTGAAGAAGTTAGCTAAACCTTGTCCTACCCTAAGGACAAAGCTTTTTGGAAGGAAGCCGTTGTGGCAGGAAGAAAAATCAGTACACAACTCCTGTCTTCAGTATTTCCTTCCTTCCTTCTGCTCTGCAGTGAAGGCAAGAAGGTTCTGTCTGTTAAACTCTGACAAGGGTGCTGCTCCCTTAGGGTTCTCTCATCTCACAGCAGCTTAAGTCTGTAGTGGACTAAAAGTCCAGGCTGGCAGTTGGCTGCTCCAATGCCCTTCCTTTGGGAATTGCTGCTTTGGAAAGAGGGGTTTGCTTTACCCAGCACGGCCTGCTATGTCTGTTCTGGAGATAGCAATATTAACTTTGTCAGAGCAAACATCTCTCCCATCCCTTGCCAGATACTACAGTTCCCCTGTCTGTGAATGTTTTGTGTTGTTTAGAGTCTTCAAAAGATTTCTTGCTTTCCAGGCTGGTGTCTGAGCTGATGTTGGTCTGTCCTTTGCAGGTCTCCACCACTGATTTCAGTGCAACTCTCGGCAAGCAAGTTCTCGGAGCCTGTCACCCTCTCTACAGGCATTGCCACCTTCCTGACGGCTGATACCCAGCCTGATGGCACTGCCACCACCAGCCAAAATGCCACGTCTTGTGGGAGGGCTGGGGTCAAGTTCTTCAGGAGCCCAAGCAAAGAGCTTCGGCAGAAGCCAGCTAGTGCTATTGAGTCATTCTTCCAAAAGGCAGCGGCAGCAGCCAGCTTGCCCAGTGCTGCCTCTGCAGAGCCAGCTGTTCCCAGCTCCCCAGAGCACCAAGAGAGAGCTGCTGTTGGCTTGCCTGATGGACTTGCCTCTGTGCAGTGTGACCTGGAGTCCCCTGTGAAGCAGAGTCCCAGTGATGCCAGCCCTACTTCTCCATGCAAGAGTCTTCCCGGGGAGAAGTTGCCATCAGATGCTACACTAACACCCTCAACTCCACCCAGCTCCAGGACCCTTCTGAAATTACAACCAGCTATAGAGGGAAATGAGCAGAATTTGCCACCCTCTCCTGAGCTCACCCTGCTGCCTCCTGCCTCTCCAGGGGACCAGCAGCGCTGTGAGAAGTGTGGCCAGCTTGTGCTGGTGTGGGAGTTCCCAGAGCACATGGACTACCACTTTGCCCTGGAGCTGCAAAGCTCTTTCCTGGAGCCCAGCCCTCCCATGGCTCCAGAAGCAGCTCACAGTGCAAAGCCTGTGGTTTCCAGGTCTCCTGCCAAGGCAAAGAACAAGCTCAAGACTCCTGCAGGATCTAGTGCAAAACGACCTAAAGAAGGTGTGACAAGAACTTTAGATTTTTTCTTTAAGCCCTTACCTCCTTAACTCTCAGCCACACTGGGTATTTTTAAAGAATCGGAGTTTTTAAAGAAGCAGTGTTTTAAAGAGCTGGTGTTTTTAAATACGCTAAAAAGTTTTTATACTGCCTGTCAGGTTTTAATGCTGGAAAGCCTAATAAATTATCTCCACCCCAAGTCTAAGGGGAACTGGAACTCATGAATTGTGTAGCTGTAGCCAGTTCAGCTGGTGGCAGCTAAGCCTGCCTCTGCCTGCCTGGTACTACTAGAAGCTACGTGGTACTCTCACCTACACCTCTTGCCATAGGTATTTCCATGGCATCATTGCTCAGTAATTCTGTTCCTCCTATAAAAGCAGCCACTGTAAGTGCAGCAATTTGTCCCAGGGAGTCTCCAGCTAAGCCTTGGCTTGAACCCCTGTCTAATCACCCAGTATGAAACCTTCAACTCATGGTTCTACTCTGACTGCAGTTGCAGACCTTGCCCTTACCGTGTAGGTTATATGCGGTAGCTTAGCCCTGTTGTTCCTTCTCCCCTCCACCTGGAAGACACTGATTTTTATTCCCTCTTTCCCACATCCCAGGATTTATGTTACATGGTTTGGCAATTCCCTCTGTGTAGCAGTCCATTGCATGGTGCTTATCAGCAACTCAGGAGCACAAAAGAAAGACTGCTTCTGTAATATAAGATTTGTGGAAGCAGTAGCTGCATGGGCATACTTTTTGGTGGGCTTTTTGAAAACTTTGCATTAATTCATAATAATTGCTGTTGACACATAAACAGTCTACTGCTAGAGCCCTCACTGGAAGGGATAGAAAACATGCCAAGAGTCACAAAGCCCACTGTGAAAGCTTTTGTCTGGTGTAGAGTGCATAACCATTTTTCCTCCTTCCCAGACTCTGAGTGATACTGGATACTGAGTGAACTTGCTGACAGGTACCTGTTCTAGCTGTGCTCTGCCAAATGACTTCTTCAGTTCTTTGGGCCACAGGTCACAGTAAAGTGGCCACTCCAGGGCTCCACAGATTACAACAGCCAACAAAGCAGAGTATCATGGAGGGGACAAGCAGGCACTGAGAGAGGGTGAGACTGGCTCCAGGGCAAGAGAAGTGCTTGCCCTCAGCTGCGTGGCAGGGCTCAGCTCTGCTACACTTTGAGCTGCCTGGAGCCCGCCAGAAGCTCTCCAGCCAGTAATTTGAACGTGGTTATTAGGGCGGGGGGAAAGAATGTGCCACGTCAAGGCAGCACTGGGTGGGGTTAGGAAACGCGTTGCAGGGAGTTTCATCAGCTGCAGGCTTCCCTTCCTTGGGTAGGGGGGGGACATAGCCTTTGAGGCAGCAGATAATGTAAACTGCAGCTCTATATCTATGTGCTATTTTCTCAAATGCATCATCCTAAATGCAGTTGTTGAGCTGTTCTCTCCTTCCAGCAGACAGCCTGTGCTGGGATGCTGCTACATTATTATCAGTGGAGTCTAATACTTGACAACAGTCATGAGATTTCAAGAACAAGAAGCTCATCCTGGTGTGTGCAGCTCTGGTAATCAGTAGAGGAAGGGATTATGGAGTCACTCCCACTAATGACAGTCCTAACACTGCAAAGTGACAAGTTTCCCAAAGTCCTCACGTGAAGACAAACAGCAACCAGTCTGGCAGGATTGCCTCATCTCCTGTGACAGTGGCACATCTCATTTCCTAAGTGTCTGGCAGGACTGGACTCTGCAGATGCCACTATCTGACACAAAAACAAGTTCCGAAGAGGCAAATCCTTTTGGTCACAAGTCATCTCCACAGGGAGACCTTTCTGCCTCTACTTGTCCCAAGGGAACAACCTGTTCTCATGGAGACAAGGCAGTCACAAACCTCTTGATAAGGTCAAAGCTATTTTGAAAACAAATCACCGGTTAGATGTGTGCCCTAGAAAGCATCTCTTTAATTAGGCTCTGGGGGAATTTGTGACTGTGAGTAGGCTCTAGCCACAGCCTGTTCCGCCCACAACAGCCCAAAGTGCTGTGCTCAGGATGACGTGGCTGCCTGTCACCTCAGGCTGCACACGCAGGCTTACTCAGATAAGCCGGAGCGCAAGATTGTAAACAGCAGCGCGTACATTCTTTCCACACCACAGCGTGGTATTTATAGGGCAGAACGCAGGAAGCTTAGGACTGGGCAAAGGGTAGCCAGCTCCAAGTGTGACCCAGCTCCAAGGGCAGCAGGGTAAGAGCCCAGCTCCACCCTCGCTCATTGTACAACTCAGCCAGCAAGCTGAATAAAACATCTTTATTCTGTACATTTATATAGATGCTTGGAGAACTGGGACAATCCCCAGCATTAGAAAAATTCAAGACAACAAAACAGCAATTATGAAGAGCATGGCACCAAGAACAGTCATGCCACAGATGGCAAGGATGAGGTGAGACCAGCCATCAGCTGTTTCAGAAAGGTCACAGCACCCCCCTTTGGGGCAGAAAACACCAGTGCTGCTGCAAAGAGCTGGAGTCCCCCATCCCCAGGCAGCTTTCTTTGTGACCCACTAGCACCAAGAGAAGAGCCTGCTGGCAGCTGGGGCCTGTCCTTACAGGCATTGGTGAAAAGGCCATGCCATTGGAATACCCAGCCGACTGCCAGAATGGGAATAAAAAGGGATCCTGCTTGAGTAGTGACCCTGAGCCAGCATCTCCTTTCTCTCTGCTGGGGATGCAGCAGTTTTCAGCTGGATCAGTGCTCCCTTTGAGGGACAGGTCACTCCTGCCAACTATTAAGCTGCCTTCCGTTCATTTATGCCACCACTTGACAGGCTTCCCTCACCTCAGCATGCTCTTGGCAGGGTGCAGACCCCGCCTCCCACCCCTCGATGGCCTTGCCCAGTGCAGAGACCCACGGCCCTGCGCAGCCCCACAGCAGCGCCTGTGCCAGTGACCCAGCAGCAGAACCTGCTCTCAGGATGGCAGAAGGGCCGCTGGGGTGTCCAAGTGCTATCACAGGCCCTCGCCCTTCTCTTCAGTCAGGGCTAGCAGGCCACCACACCAACCAGCAGGGCTTGCTGAAGGCCTTTTGCTCACAGCAGACACATTTGGTCTAACAGTCAACAATAAAACCAAAAGCCTATGTACAGCTTTACAGACCCTGCTGCAGCCTCCAGGCTACACAGCAGAGCTGCATGACAGAGTGGGAGACTGGTGCTCCACTCTACATTACGGAGTCCTTGCTGGCAACATCAGCTTTCTTCTGACAACAAACATCAGTGGCAATGGAAAGAAAGGAATTCTTGCTCTAAGAGAAATAAAAACCATTCCACTGTCAAAACAGAAGTTACCTGGTTTTGTGTATGTAACACAGCCTGTCCTCCTCACGCATTAAGGCAAGCGTGTGAGGAACAAGGTGGGCTGGGAACAGCCACACTAGGGAGCCCATTGCAAACCACTGCTACCAGTGTGCAGAGGACACCTTCAGGTGAACATCCATAGAAACAACCTACTCACACCAGCACAGGCCTGGGCCCTGCTCTGCTCCACAATGGCCTCCTGTCCAACTGCTGCAAGGAACAGATGCAAGTACAAACTCTGTCTTCATGATGTTATGTCAGGAGGCTGTGCCACTCAGAGCAGCCGCAGCTTCCCAGAAGTCACAAAGAAGGATGCTGAAGAAATGTGTACATGTGAGTGGAGAACAGGACATCTGTCCAACAGTAAGACACTCAGATTGGAGTTAACGTAAAACCAATGCACAAATGGACACACAGCAGATTAAAGCCAACCAAGATTCAAACGGTTAAAAAGTGTCCTGAATGCATTCTGAGAGGTTCAGCCAAGCCCTTGTTGTGGGTAGCATGGCCTCTTCCATCCCCTGCCCAGAAGGATGTGCTGAAGGATGACTTGAGAGAATACTGTTATCAACCCAGTGTTCAGAGAGCAGAAATGGGACCAGACCTTGTGTCAGAGATGGAAAAACATCCCTTCACTGCTTGTCTTCAAGGGCTCCGCGCCTCCCAACCAGCAATTTTCAAACAGTAAACAAAGCCAAAACTTGCTTGCCCAGGTCTGCAGGTACCTCTGATCTATTCCGATGGAGGGCAGGGTAATGAAAGCTGCAGGCGATGTGGAGAACATGCTTAACTTGTCCCACGTACGGCAGTGAATGCAAGAAACTCTCCCATGCTCCATCTCACAGTGCAGAGGAGGGACATCCACACTAGAACGGGACAGCAGCAGCTCCAGGCATTGCTCAGAAAGCCACAGGAGCTTCCAGCCTTCTCCCCAGGTGCTTGTGAGTGGAGATTTCTCTGACCTGCTGGTAGTCAGAAGCTCAGCTGTCCAGGCCCCAGGGACTCCTCCAGGCCGTTTTCTTTGGTGGTGATGGCTTGGAGGTCAGTGACATGCCCAATGCCTTTGGTGACTCCTTCACGGAAAAGTAGTTTGGCTCCAATCTTCAAGTATTCAGGATGCTTGATGAACCTGAAACAGACAACTGCCTTCTCTCCTGTCCGCAGCTTGTCCTGGAAAGACAAATGGGAGAGCTTACATCCATCTCCCAAGCTGATGTGTGCAGGAAGAGGTACATGTGGATGGTAAGACGATGAGGCAAATAAGCAGCCTTCTTCAGACTGCATGGCATGAGCCCTTCTCATTACTGTATACCTAGGAAGAGACAGGAAGACACAAGCTTCCTGAAGAATGGAGAGTTCACCTCTCAAACATGTTTGGAAGAAAAGCAACAAAATGGGCAGGATAAAGGGATGGAGTCTGCTCCTAGGAAGGGACACAGCTACTCAAAATAACAGCAGCTCCCAGCTTTACTAGAGGGCGTGGTGGAATCCCAACAAACCCCACGGAGAGATCCATCTTCCTCCTCTCTCTTCCCATGGCCTACCTTTCCATGGATCTTCTCTACGACAGCTGTCTGTCGCACATTCCCCACGTGCACCGTCACCTGGAACCCTTTCCGGAAAGTTGTGGCATGGAATAACAGCACGATCTCGGCTTCAAACACTGAGCAGATGGTTGGGTTCATTTCTGGGCTCACCATGACCATGCCCTGCAGAACAAGCCAAGGCTCAGACCAGTTAGGCCCAGTCCTCGTGCTTCTGAACAGTCCCCAGAAACACAAATACACCTCCACTCTGTGACTTGGGTTTGCATCCCATTCTTAGCCTTGTACACATTGTACTTTGTAACCTGGCCATTTTCTCCCCTTCCAGCAAGTTTCCT